GTAGAATGAAAAAAAAAATTGATAAAAAAAATGATTGTAACTATTAATATTTGAAATTCCTAAGAGGGTGATTGTTTATCATCTCAACTCAAAAAAATTCAATCAAAACTCAAATTTAACTCAACTTTAACCAAACACTATCTCAAATATTATTAATATAATTAAATAATACCAACCAATCATTTAACTAATCATTCTTATACATCACATCAACTTTAATTCACTATTCATCTACTCACAAAATTTTAACTAACCATCACTTCCAATCATTTTTCTCTTACTTTTCATCATATCAATTTTAATTATTTTATTTTAAATATTATTTTAATATATCCACTACCAACTAATCATACCAACTTTTTTCAAACTTAACTAAACTTTTTTCAAACTTAACTATAGTTACAAAAATACCAATTAAAAACTAGTCAAATTCATAAACAATCACCCCTTAAACAGTTGTAACAAAATCACATTAGTAATCTTAGAAATTAATTATAGCATATGGAATTTTCAGCAATTCAATTTTTTCAAGAAACAACTCTCCCTTATAAGATAGTTATTTCAAAATTGAACTTCAATCTATTTTAATTATTCTAGGGATTTAAAATACCATAGTAATAAAATAAGTTCAATTTATTTTGCTTAATTTCAATTAAACTAAAAAAGAAAGTAGATTATATATTACATAAAAACTATATTTTTACTTATAAAAAATTGATTATTATCGTAGAAACTTGTTACACATGATATATACTTCTGTGTGTTTTTACTAAATTTTGAAAATGACAGTGAACATTCACGACCATTCAACTGTAATTAATATTTAAAATATATCTTACATTAGAGTTGATAATAATGATTTGTAACTCATTTTCCCACTTTTAATTAAAAGACAAATACATTCTCAACGTTGAAAATTGACTATACTACAATTATTTATCACATATCAAATAATCATATATATGACATTAAATTAGAATTATTAATTTTTACTGAAATGATAGAAGGTTCTAAATTATAGTTACATTTATTAAAATTTGGAAATTATAAACTCTTCATTACATGTAATTTATTTTATAACTATAAATATAGATATGAGTAAATATTTAAATACATAGTGATGAAAATAAACATTAATGAAGGTAATTTCTTATAAAATCACAATACTAAAATATCCAAAAGAAATAATAAAAATGCAGCAAATATCCAAAAGTTACATTTCTTTTTTCTTAATTGTAATTGGAGTTTTCAGATTAAATGAAGAAAATGAATTACAAGTAAATATATAAGTTATAATTTGTTGTTTTTTACTCTATTTTGGTTGGCAATAGGACCACTACATTATAATAAATTAATATGAATACGGGAGAAGAGAAAATATTTAACAGCTTTGACGAAGCCATCGATGACACAAATAGAAATTATGATGAAGATTTCTTGAATTCATTAACTCCGAATGGCTTGCCTTCTCATAAACTGGTTTTAAAGAAAAATTGTCTAGTTATTCTTTTGTTGGCTTTGCATTACATGAAATTTTCATATTTGTACATGAAAAATCTTATTTATGAAGTTGAAAAAAATATTTTAAAACATTTGTGTAGATTAAACATTATTTATGTACGTAAAAAACAATGAAATAGATAAAACATGCAAAATCTAATTTATGTAGTTGTGACAATACATTCATTAAAAAAAAAAGATAGAAATAAATTATTTTAATACATTAATACTAAGAAAATTAATTAAAAAAATAATATTTAAAAAAATTAATTAAAAGAAACAACATATGAACATTTTGTAAATAACAAAAAACAATGAGAACCACAAGTTAATTGAATAATATATTTATAATAAAATAATACAATAAGAATAAAAAAGATTAATACATTATGACGTTGAAAAAAAAAACAGTTAAATAGATAAATGTTTGGTTTCAATAAAAGGTCAGATCAATGGATCATTTTTTTTATTATTTTTTTTATTGACTTTGCATTACAAATTTTTTTAATATTTGTACATGAAAAATCTTAGTTATGTAGTTGTGTCAATACATTCATTTAAAAATTTGATACCAGTCAAAATTTTTTTATAGATTAATATTATAAAAAAGTTATTAACTATAAAATATACAAGGAATATTATAAGAAAAAAGTTGAGTACTATGTCATGACATTCATGATTAAAACATCACAATAATGATTTAAAACATTTTATTTGAAATTATTTGAAACAATTTTATATTAAGTCATGTGTTTTAATATTTTAATTATTCTAATTAAAATTTAAATTGTTATTTGACAATTTTAATTGTTTATATTATAAGCAGTAAACGTAGAGTTGTTTCTTGAAATTTTTGAATTGCCAAGAATACCCTCATAAGAAGATAAGTTTTAAGGTTATTAATGTAATTTTTTTATTAATGTTAGGAAGTTACAACTTTTATTTATTATCTTTTATTTCTTATGCTTAATTATATCTTTAAGTTCTTACACATACAAAATATTACCTACGCAAATTCATATATTTTAAATAATTATTTATTCTTAATTATATTATTATGAACTAATCTATATATGACGTTAGGTTTTGATTTGGTTATTTTAAAGGTAGTTTCAAAATGTAAGAGAAATTTTTTTTAAAAGATTTTTTAAATAAAATATATGATATTTCATAAGTATAAAATATATAATGCACCACTAAAGGAATCATCTTTAATTTCCAAATATCATATTGTTTACCATACACATTTTTTGTTATAGTATTAAAAAAATTAAAGAGGAACAATTGAGTGAACTTGCATATGTTTAAGAATGATTGAATCAAAAGTAATTATTCAACATACAAAATGTCAACTTTCTATGGAAAACAGTTATTTGTTAAGTGAAAAAGATATGATCTTAACATAAATATTTGTTTAAATTATTCACTAAAACAATATGAATAATATGATTTAAGTTTAATATGAATAATATGATTTAAGTTTACCTGTAGTAATATGTATAGTATAAATCTTCTTTTATAGTAATGTGTTACATAAATTAAAATAGCATTTATTGAATTGTAATATAAACAAAAATAGATTAATTACAGAAATAAAAAAGTTATTTTAAATCTTGAATTTCATAATATGTGTACTTATTAGAAAATAGTTACAATTAAAATTAATGAAATATAAATAAATAGTAAATTTACTTTAAATTTGTTGTCTTTAGCATATCTTATTTATAAAATCATTCATAAATTAAATGTTTCAAATCACTTCTCAAAAGTAGGGAAAATAAACTATATAAAATATTGACGAAGATATAAAAATAATGTTAAGAGAAAAAAATGAAAGAATCATCATTTTATTATTCATTAAAACTAGACTTATTAAATTATCACATTTATGATAGTCTTGAAAATTCGTGAACGAAAATGTATGACAATTTTAAGATATACAACAATAATTTATGTTGGACAAAATATATAGATAGATGGGTATCTTTAATAAATAAAGATGTTATTATTCCTAAGCTTTTTCATGTAATTTTTTTTAGAACGAATTATTCAAACATAATGTTTCAGCTTCCAGTCGACAATAAGAAAGGATCATTATACATTATAGTTATAACAAAATTTACAAAGAGTATGATGCAAAAGGATGACATTAGAAAACTATATTTGGTGATAATATTAATGACCATTATTTTAAGCAAAAGTAGGGAAAATAAACTATATAAAATGTTGATGAAGATATAAAAATAATGTTAAGATACAAATAAAATATGAAAGAATCATCATTTTATAATTCATTTAAACTGGAATTAGTAGATTTTCACATTTAGGATAGTCTTCAAAAATCAGGAATGATGATAATGGATGTATGACATTGTTAGGAGATGCAACAATAATTTACATCGGAAAAGATATATAGATAGATGGGTATCTTTAATCAATAAAGATGTTATTCCTAAATTTTTTCAAGTAAATTTTCTCTTTAAAATAATTACGACTTTAAAGACATTTTCAAATATTTATGTATCTCTTATGTAATTATGACTAGAGAATAATTATATATATATATAAGATTTATGAAATATTATACTTGTAAATATAATTAAACTTGCAACCACTGTAATCAAAATAATTGAGAACGAATTTTTCAGACATAGTTGTCAACTTCCAATCGACAATAAATAAAAAATAATATTATAAATTATAGTTATAACAATTTTGATTTATTTTTCAAAGAGTATGATGCAAAAAGATGACGTTAGAAAACTATATTATGATGACAATAGTAGGGATCATTATTTTAAGCATATTGAAGATATCATAAAATAACAAAATAAAAAACGATGTAAATTTCTTTAGCATTTATGTTTTCACTTAAAACATATTAACTTTATTGTGGTTTTCAACACAATGTTTTTTTTTTATATTTAATTTTATTTATCATACAGTTCAACAAATAGTATAAAATACTACATTTCATTATTCAATAAAATACACCATTTTTTGTTAAACTAATTGAAAAAAAATTATATTATACTATTAAATATAAACCTAATACTAAAAATAATTTGAAAAAAAAATACTAATTGAAAGAAAATTATATTATACAATTAAATATAAACCTAATACTAAAAATAATTTTTAAAAAAATACTAATTGAAAGAAAATTATATTATACTATTAAATATAAACCTAATAGTATAAATAATAAGAAAAAAAAAATCACGTGCGTAGCACGTGTATTTTCCTAGTATAAAGAAAAGTAAAAATGTAGGACATAAGATATGAAAATTCAGTTAATTTTTTCACCTTTATACGAGGGATTTCTCAGAGCTTCAGAGATCAAGCTTACTAGGTCATCAACATGAATCCAAGAAAACCTGTACCATTAAGGCGAAACACTTAAAAAACAGCATTGCAAATACGAACACCAAATCAGCCGACAAATGTACTAACTAATAAGCCTGTTTTCAAATGGACGTAGTGCATATTTTTTACCATTGCTTTCCAGAGCCCAAAGGTCCCCCGGCAAACATCATGAAAAGAGGTATCATCTTAGCTGCAGATTTTTGATCAGGTGAATTGAATATCTAAACGTCAACATGGAAAAATTGGAACTTTAATAATACGTGAAAGAGTGAAAAAAAAAAAAAAAAATCGTTAGTATATTACCTAGAGCACCACCATCTTTTCCGAGTACAACGCCAATTCGAATAAGTGTTAGCCTCACATCTTTATCGACTCTTAGTGCAGTGCTTTCCCATTCTCGACAAACCTGAAGAAGAATTAATTAAATTATTTAATTCACTTATTATTAATAAAAAACAGTAGTTCTATGAGATAACTCCTTTTATTTTATTGTATTTTTTTCTTATTTTTTCGATGTTAAACTGAACCTTAGGGTGCTCTTGAGTCTTGTTAGCTAATCCTTATTTTAACCATTAGAAAATGATTTTTGTCAGAGAACCTGTTGCAATTACCTCTGCCAAGTAATCGTTTCCTGACGGACTTTGCTCATCAAAAACTCGTGTTTCGCTAGTTCCTGAATCAAACCAAAATAGAAAAAAAAAAGAATGAAAAAAAGATGAGTTCTCAATGTGCTAGTTAGTATTTAAGGTGCTTTCCACTAACACTGATGCAGCTATTATTCCTCAGGATAATTTTTGTAATTATTCATATACCTTGAGAGAAAAATCAGTAGGAGATTAAGATTCATTAGAAAAAAAAAAAAAAAGTTTCAAGCACTTTGAGATGCACACCATAATATCCAACGGCTGTTGCACTAATCAGAACCTTGGGGCGAAGTTCACCTTGTGAGCCGTTGATTAAATCTACAACCTGTGGAAGTACAACGAATTTTCAACCAGCAATTAGCAGATTAGGAAGTCAAGTATCATAAAACCCAAACACATAACAAAGTATATCTTATCTTAAGAACTTAGATTAAGACCATAAGAAGAAAGAACCTTAGAAGTTGCTCTAATCCTGCTTTCCTTGATTTCTTTCTTGATCTGCAACATCCGCAGACTTAATAAAGATAAACGGTATAAGTATAACTATCCCTGGAAATAAATTATGAAGCAAAAGGGAATGCAGCAAAAAGCATTTTGGGAATATCTGTTATTTTTTATATACGAGTGAACAAAAAAGACAAGTGTCCTTCTGAGGCTCTGTGGGAATTCCTTCATCTAACTATCTAAGGCTGCCTATAAATTTTTTATTAAAATAGAAAAGAGTTGATTTTCTTCAAATATCCACATAAAAAGTTGATAGATTGTATACTATTATCTTATCAATTAGGTACCTCGGAAGACCATCTCGAGCTTATCGGCAATCCAGCCAGATTCACTACAGCAGTTGATCCTTGAATGCAATTTTTCCAGTCTGACTCCTCTGCGATTACAATACCAGGGTACTCCGTAACTACACTTACAAATAAAAAACTCGTCGGGATATGAACTTGGCTAATGCCGAATAAAAAGTACTATTGTTTTTCTTTCTTCTCTTTACGGCAAGATATGATAATGAATGTCATTATGATTGTTTTTAATATTTGAATATCTCGCCTAAGTGGTTCTTTATCATCAATCAATCAACATACACAGTATATTCCCAACAGGTTGGGGTCTGGGTGTCAGTTGGTTCTTTAGCCAAGACAAAAAAAACAATGCAGCTCGATGATGAGCTTTCAAAACCATTTCTCCGACTTTAACAAATTATATATCATTTCTTGAAAGGAATAACAATGGGAAGAAATTACTACATGTCATGAATGAAACTCTATTATAGCCTTCATTACCTTCTTACCCGGAAAAATTGACTGCGCTTTTGACCTAGATCGTGTCAAGACCCGCACAATATGATTATCTGCATGATAAAATTACCATTAGGTATATGCCTTGGTAAAGCTAATTAGTGTTGCTTATGAACAAAAATAAAAAAATAAAAAATTATGTGGAAGATCTGTAAGGAGTGAATATACCTGCATGCAATCTTTGAACCAATCTTTTACCTATAAAACCTGTGGCTCCAGTTATAGAAACAATCATCTCATTTGCCTGCAACAAAAGTAGATGCAGTTAAAAATATGCTTTTTACTAACAAAAACGAAAGGAAGACAAAAAGAGAAGCATACATTTAACAGAAGAACTCAAGTTAAAATTTTTTTTGGCATAACATACACACGCAAAAAAGACTGTAACTCAGATTAACCTGAGGATTGGCAAGTATAATTCACACTAGAAATGTTAGATTCGTGGTTTTAAATACATTAAGCTCCACATATAAGATAACTGCCATCTGCAAAACCCTTTGCAAACAAATATATAGGTGCACAAAAACTGTTTATAAATGGACTAATGACATCAAGTGGTTGAGCAGGTCAGTTTTGACAATTGATCACAATTTTTGAACAAAAAATTCTACTTCTAATGTGAAACGTAGTGATACCTCGTCTCCATCACGTAGTATTTACCTCGTCTTTGAATTATTCTTTTAAACGTATGACATTCTAGTGCTGAAAAACTATGCGTTTTAGCTGAGAAAGCACCAGACCCAAAGAGAGTGAGCCGTAAGACTAAAAAGGAGATAAATAAATAAAATAAACAATAACAAAATCACATACATTGCAAAGTTAATGTCAACATTTATGCATCACCTTGAACAAAAGGTACAACCAAAGGAGATAACTAAATAAAGTAAACAAGAACAATATTACACCAAATTTCGAACTCAATGCGGACATTTAAGCATGACCCAGAAGATAATTTACAACCAATAAACAAAAGCATCCCCCTTTTTCTTACCCTCTTGCAAAATAATCAAAACCCTCTAACACAAACTACATATAATGCCTCAAAACCCACACTTTGTACACCCAATTTACAGATTTTGAACAAGATTCGACTCGTTTCAACGGGCATTACCTTCTGAGGGTCTGCTGCGTCGTTTCCGCTACTAACACAGAGAGTTCTAATCCTCTTAAATCTCCGTCGTACCTGCGAAAAAAAAAAAGAGTAAACAAACAAGAACGCAGCTCAGTTTAACAAGAACTCAGATCTGAGAGCAGCATGAAAGAACAATGTTGTCAAAAAAAAAGAGAGAATATACCGTTAAGCTTTCGTGAAAGCGGTAAAAGTGAGAGGAGGACATGGAGGTTGTCCAAGAAATTGAGGTAGCTCCACAGAGCTCCATTGTCGTCGGAGCTAATGGCGGGCTAACTTTTGGAGTCTTTTTTTTTTTTTTTTT